CAAAAAATATTCTTTAAAAAATCCACGCCTGTAATAGTCCCTCAAAAAATATTCTTTAAAAAATCCACGCCTGTAATAGTCCTTCAAAAAATATTCTTTAAAAATCAACGCCTGTAATAGTCCTTCAAAAATATTCTTTAAAAAATCGACGCCTGTAATAGTCCTTCAAAAATATTCTTTAAAAAATCCACGCCTGTAATAGTCCTTCAAAAAAATATTCTTTAAAAAATCCACGCCTGTAATAGTACCTCAAAAAATATTCTTTAAAAAATCCACGCCTGTAATAGTCCCTCAAAAACTATTCTTTAAAAAAACCACCCCTGTAATAGTCCTTCAAAAAATATTCTTTAAAAATCCACGCCTCTAATAGTCCTTCAAAAAATCCACGCCTGTAATAGTCCTTCAAAAAATATTCTTAAAAAAATCCACGCCTCAGATAGTCCTTCAAAAAAAATCCTTAAAAATCCATCACCTACTTGAAACCACTGTGCTATATAGTGTTATGTTTTCTCAAATAAGAAAATAATTTTTGTTTTCGAGAGACATCGAGTGATTTCTATCTTTTTTTGCCTACCCGCCCAAGACGGCGATGACGTATCTCAATCATATTAATTACCTTTAGAGAATACGCCCCCTCAAAGTTATACTCTGGCATGTTTTGGTGACGTATTTTTAAATTTGTCTCATTTTTTCGTGATGCTATTGATGCCAATGTTTTTTTTTTCAATGGAATTTAATTTAATGTGTCTTTAATATTCTCGTTCTCGTCGTTAAATAAACATTTCAAGTTTAAGGTCATTTACTTGGGGTAGACATTTTTGGAAGTGGCTTTGCTAGAATCTTTGTAACAGAATCATGACACCTTCACCCACACGTTTATCTCGAATGCTTTGTAATCCGAAAATTTATTTTTATATATTAACTGTCTAGAATTTTTTTTTTTTATTTTTTTCTAATGCATTATTTGTTAATGCGCAATTGTATATTTCAAATAATTTTAATGATTCATGGATCGATATTTTCAATGAATTTTTAAAGAATATTTTTTCAAGATGAAGCGTGGATTTTTTTAAGAATAAATCTTTAAAAAGAAGCGTGGCTATATAGATCGGACAGAAGATATATTACGTGTCATGGTTGCACTTTCCCAACCACATTAGGTTTCTAATAATGCTGTAGATTAGAGCAGGTTCCGTTGTTCAGAAGAAACTAAGACTCGGTGGAAAGTGAGCATCCACTAGTCTGTGCCGTCTGTAGGCCAGGACTGGGCAGCGACACAGGAGGTGCTTTATTGTCTCCGTCTCCTCCTCGTCAACGCAGAGTCTACAGTAATCAGTAGCATCATGGTCCCATTTACTGGTAAAGGCCCTGATATTGCAATGGCCAGTAATGGTTTCTGTCATTACTCGTACTTCAGCTTTGCTCAGGTTCAACAGTGAGTGTGTCCTTTTGGTAGACTGAGTCAGCCAATAGATCTGGACACATTGCACATTGAAGAACGCCTCAAAGTTCCGATTAAGATGACATATGGGTGGTTTGATTGAGTCATAAATTGCTAGATCTGTAAATTGAGATCCTCGTCTAGCTAATTAGTCTGCTCAATCATTACCCATGATGTCACGGTATCCTGGTACCCTACACAGCCGATAGCTGTATGTAAGTTCTTCCAAAGCTGTTCTACACTTGAGGACGGCCTCAGATTTGATGTAACAGGATTTAATGGCTTTATGATCCGCTTGACTATCCACAAAGATAGTCACCGCCGCTGCCTTCCAAATCGCGAAGATTTCAGCTTGTAAAACACTACAGCTGCTATCCAGCTTCTAGGTTAACTCAAGGTCTAGCCTTCCACAGTAGGTCAGGTCCTGCACTTCTTCCATCTTGGATCTATCTGTATAGAAAGCCAGATAGTCCAGAGAAGTGTTACTCCGGTTACAGTCGTCTCTATTAGGAATAACGACATCTACATCGTCAAATTTCACGACTGGTGATATATAGTCGCTTAGTTTTACGCATTGGTCCAATGTCATACCAAGATACAACCATACCCAAAGGTATAACTTCGCCAAAGAGTTTGTTCATGCAGCCTTAGGGCACTACCTGCGGCCTGACACTTATGCTGAGGCTCAGAGGCCTTAAGTTCATCATTGCGTTCAGAGCTGCTGGTGACGAGCTCCTCATGGCTCCTGTTATTAGAATCGAGGCGGCTCTTGTACCTTATCTAGTTTGCTGAATGTCGATGGGCCTTACCACGGTGTTATACAACCAGTGTATATTCGATGGTTTTAGCCATCCCCAATGGTATTCTTGCATGCATAGAATACAATTAGCCCTCTCTTCGCCCGTTCCTCAGCGTTCATGTTCCATCGTAATTGACAGTACAGAATTGTGCCAAGGTACTTTGCTTCGGGTGAAGTCGCACCCCATCCAGTGTTGGTGGATCAAGGATCCCGAGCTTACGCTTCCTAGTGACCATTACCAGTTCCGTCATTGTTGGGTTCGCCTTAGCCCAGCGTCAGTAAGGCTCTTTGCATAAGCTCCGAGATTGTTGACGGAAATTTTCCGGAGATATTACCACGTCATCCGCATAAGCTACGTCTTTGATACCTTGTCCGTCCAGTTCCATCAGTATGTCGTTAATTACCAATAGACATAGCAACGGTGATAGCACCCCTCCCTGAGGGTTGCCTCTAGTTACTGTTTTCCTGATTTTTGTATCCCCCATATTTGAATTTATAATTCTGCTATTTAGCATTTTATCTATACAACAAGTAAGGTTTTTTAGGAGTGCCAACTTTTTTTAAGTGAGTGGTTTACGGACTCTAGTTTAACGTTGTTAAACGCACCCTCTATATCTAGGAAGGCGACCAGCGTGAAGTTTGAATTTTCCATATTCATCTCAATGTAACTTACCACCTCGTGCAGTGCAGATTCTACAGACTTGCCCTTTATGTATGCGTGTTGTGAATTGCTAAGAGAGGTGGTGTCTATACGACTCCTAATCTCCAGGTCGCTCAGTTTTTCGAGAGTCTTGAGGAGAAAGGATGATAGTCTGTTTTATGCGAGCACCTGTCCATAGGCCTACCTCGCACTGGCTGAGCCACAGGCGGATATGCGCCCACCAGCACACCAGCACCAAAATGCTGTACCAATTGGAGAACATGTAGAAGGCACACTCTCCCCCTTGGTGAGGGGCGAAAGTCCTTTAGTGCAGAGAGACTTGATTTCCACGCTTTAGGAATGTAAGTAACCTTTACCTCGTTCCATAGACCCAGAACGCACGAGAGAGTCAAACACGCCATATAGATCTTCTAAAGGATCAGATATATACTTGGCGAGTCAAATTGAAGCATCGCCGCTGATTCCATCTGGTCGTGGCCATTTACATGGTTTGAATGTATTGACTGCCCAGCGTATCTTATTGTGTCATCACATTCACTGTTAATGATATCCACATATTTGCAACCTGGGAAATGAGTCTCAGCTAGGAGATTAAAACAGCATATACATTAGACATTTTTACCGTGTTAAAGGTCGTTTATATTGAACCGGATTTGTTTAACCCAGTGGGTTTAAATTTTCAATTCCTTTGAATATATGCCAAATAAATCCTCATCAAGTAGGTTAACCCAGTAAAAAGTTCTAATGTAAATGCCGTATTAACCTAATTTATGAGGATTTATTTGACATATATGCAAAGTCTGCTTTTCCACAGGCAGATTTTTATTTGGCAAATTTTTTGTTTTTCTCTTTTGAAATTTTCGCTTGCTTTTCCATTAGCAAATTTTTCTTTGCCAAATTTACAAAAGAAAGAAAATAAAAGTCAAAAGTGTTTGCATTTTAAAGATTTTTTTAATATTTTATTTTTTTTTATATATTTTATTATATAAATTACAAAAATTAAAAATTAAATTTCACTTGCACAAATTAAAGCAACAGGTTTGTAAACAAAAGCCGGCTCTGTGTCAGTAAAGCGAATAGGTAAAAGGAAATGTCAACAAAATTGTTTTCCAACAGAGCAAAGCAGAATTTGGTTAAATCTTGAGAGCAATGTTCAGATTTGCCAAAAAAAATTTGCCTGTGGAAAAGCAGACAAAGGAATTCTTGAAACCCACTGTTTAATTTTATTGAAACTATGCCAATCGACATAAATAAAATTTTATGGAATTTATTTTTCATATTATTTAAAATTGATAGATGAGTTCCAAATTAAAAAGGGTTGCTATCATCAAATTCTCAAATGAGACCTTCTGTAATTATGTCATGGTTTTTGTTGAGTGTTTAAAAATATTCTTTAAAAATCCAATTTTTCCTCCAAAAGAAATACAAATAAAATTATTAAAAAAATAACACGTTTGTTAAGCATTTAAAAATATTCTTTAAAATCCACTTCATCCATAGATGCAGAATGTCTCATTTTTTTTTTTAAATCCTAATATTTTTTATTTAAAAAAAATCATAAGCTCTTTATTTATTTATTTTTTCTTTTTAATGCCATACGTTTTAATTAACGATTGCATACACAGAGAGAGAGAGCGGCATACTGCCATGACCACTCTCTGTGTATATCTCTCTGCTACTACTCTTTGTGGACAACACAACGAAAATACTCCCACTCATGTGTTCAGATTGAATACCATGCAAAGACAACTGTGCCAGACACTGCTATAAACTGCTAGAATATTTTCCAATTGGATTCTCTCTCTCAACACATGTTGTCAAATAAAAGCTGTTGGCAGCTACAAAAATAAAACAGTCATAAGAAAGACGTCAAAAAGATTGCAACGGCAAACAACGAGTGCTAAACAGAATTGAAACCAAAAACAACAACAACTCAAATCAAATAAGAAAGTGTGTGCTTGCTTTTTTTTGTGAAAGAAGAAAGTACAGAGATTAATAGCAAAAAAAAAAAACCAAATAAAAAAAGAAACCAAGTGTGCTCGGGCAAATATTTAAATATTTTTTATACATTTTTATAAATTAAACAAAACACACAACAGAAATGGCCGACTCCAACAAGCGTAATATCCCCATCAAATTGGGAGACTTCAGCGTCATCGATACAGAATTCAGCAGTATTAGGGAACGTTTCGATTCCGAAATGCGTAAAATGGAAGAAGAAATGGCCAAATTCCGTCATGAATTGATGAATCGTGAGGCCAACTTCTTTGAAAGTACCAGGTATGTGTTCTACTCTGCGATATATCTTCTAGCTATTGTATAAGTTCAAAATTGTTATATTGTAGGTGAAAATAGTGTTGAAGAAAAAAATAACGGCTAATTTTTAAGTTTTTTTTTGTAATTGAATTTTTGCGGTGAGCGACAGGAACCGGATCTAATGTAACCGGCTTTTTGTGCCCACTTAAGTGATTTATTTGTTTGAAAGTTTCCCACACACCACAACATTTTGTCGTCATTATGGTAACATAAAAAGAATGCTGCTGGCCGGGCCTGGCCCGGCTGGAACATGAGTAGAGCAAAACAAACAAACGGAAAAAATAAGGTCTAACTACTTTTTTCTTTATTTCACGTCATGCCGTGGCAAAGACGATTTGTGCAGTAGAAAGCCTCAGCGGTAGCAGCAGGAAGAGGGAGGTTAGAGTTATTTGTGTAGTGTTTGTTCGTTTGCCATGATAATTTTTGCGGCAGAATTTAACCACCATTGGTGGTTTCATTTGAAATGCCAATCAACCGGCGAAAAACTTATCCAAAGTAACAAAAAATTTTTAGGTAGGTAGCAAATGACGAATGTTTTGAGTGTGGGCTTATTTTTTGGACTAACAGATGATAAATTCTTTATTAGATTTCCGAATACAGAGGCGTCGAGTATCATTATTTGAAATGATCCTTCAATGTCTGACTAGAGTATAAGGATATGTATATTCTTAATTCTTCTTTCAAGAAGCACCCAAATTGTGGAATTTATTTTTATTGACAAATTTTAATATAAATTCCGAATTGGAATATTTTTATGAACCTAAATTAGGAGAGCATTTATACAGGGAATTCAATTGAAAGACATAAAAAGTATGTTACATTTTTCGACCTAAGGGCGACACTCTATTAGTGTGGGCTGTCCGATTTGTTTATTGATTATTGACTGAATATTTTCGTGAATGTCTGATGAATGATACACACGAACGATAAAAAAGCAAAATTTGGGAAAATCTTCACGGTCAGTTTTGGAACATTTTCACCATAACTCGCACCAGGTATCCCAAGTCCAACGAAGGTCCTGACTACGAATAAGTCTAAAAATGTACAATAAGATTATATCCGAATTTGACTTTTCGAACATATTGGCGACAATTTAAATTCCCGAATTTAAAAAGACATTTCATCGTTTAACCGGTTTGACAAATGTCCATTGGAGAAAGAACTAAATTCCCGAACCCACAAAATCTATTCTATTTTAAAGAAAAAGCTGGTGTCGGTTGTTCAATATTGAATAGCCCCTATATGGGATATATCAAAACATGGACCCATATTGAACAATTTTTGTCTAGAGGTCAAGGGTCAAGAACTTTCAGAATATTAAAAGTCAAATGGTACCTTTATATGAAGACTATGTCAAAACATGGACCATTTAGTATATCTGCCCGAAAAATTTATCCTCTGAGAAACAGAGGGGACAAATAACAGTCATTTCGATTGAAAATGTGCCAAATTTTACCAAATAAGGAATAATGTGACGGGACCTTTATGTGAAGACAATATCCAAACATAGACCAATATTTAATATTTTCTTTGTAGAGGTTCCTCCTCTTTTATGATATATATTTATATATTTTCTATAGTAAAGATTCTACATCTACAGGAGATTTTTTCCATAGAATTTTAAAATTTTTTCTAAAAAAATGCTTCTGAACAAATGAAGATTTTTTTCTATAGTAAATTCGGATCGGTCCATAATTAGTCAGTAACCAATTCTTTCTATAGTAAAGAATCTTCATCTACAGTGGATTTTTTTTTCCATAGAAATTGAAAATTTGTTTAACAAAAAAAATTGTTTCTGAGCAACTGAAGCGTTTTTTGTGCAGAAAAAATGGTTGTCTGCACTCAAAGTAGGATCAGACCATAATTAGTTAATAACCGATTTTTTTCTATAGTAAAGAATCTACATCTACAGGAGATTTTTTCATAGAAAAGAGTTTTTTGTGTAGAAAAATTGTTTGTAGACAAAAATTGGTTCTTCGAGAACTGCTAAAATAAAAATATGTCTTCAGTTATTGAAAATTTTTTTAGGATGTAGGTTTTAGAATACTTAAACCCAATTTTGTGAATTACAGTCACTTCGGTGGGAAAAATGTAATTAAAACCTTAAAACACCGAAAATGAGAAGTTATGCTTAATGAGAGCTTTTTCGTAAAGTGGACCGATATATTCCATGTTTAATAACAAACATGAGCAAATTTCCAAAACTACAAGATAAATATTATTTTATTCCATTGACATTTCGTTAACTCAGTGGATTTCGTTAACTGGATTTCGTTATTGCCAAATAAATCCTCATAACGTGGGTTAACCCGGTAAAAAATTCTAATGTAAATGCCGTTTTATGTTTCCTAGTGTTTTAAGAAGAAATTCAAATAATCATATTTTTCAAATTCTTTTGAAACATGAAAATAAAACCTCTGCAATAGGTTTCCTCAATACTGTTGTTTGCTCTATGTAGGTGTTTTAAATTTATTCAATTTTCGCTCCAAATACAACTCTTATGGAAAAAAACACTATTTCTCCATGCCTCAACAACTTCCTCCGAAAAAGAGGAATACAAAAAAACGATGAAGATCTAAGAAAAACAATTTCCTTGGTTTTACAAATATACATATATATCTAGCATGACCTGAAATATACCATGATGTTTACCTTGTATAACAAATTTTCCAGAAATAGGTACTATCACCAAGCAGGAGGTCGCACGGTTCCCCCTGGTTGGTTGCTGGCAGACATTTTCATTTTCAAAAAAAATCTTCTGTTAGACATCTTAGATTGTTTAACTTAGATTTTGGGCCAAAAAGGCAGACAACAAGTATAAAAGAAAATTGATGACAGCCCCATAAAGAAAAACTAAATGTGGGCCAGAATGTTTTTAGTTTTTCTTTTCTTTTCCAAAAACAAAATTATCCATAGATACATATCTATCATCCATTCATCGTTGGGTCTTAGTCATAGTTAATGTTCTGTCTTTAAATGTTTATGTCTAGCAGTGTGGTACTTTCAAACACCATCATCATCATTTTCATTCTCTTCATCATGATGATGTCGAAAAAAGAATGAAAAAAAAACAAAATACTAGAAAAAGTCATCCAAAAATATTTACGACAGAAGATGAGCCAGCCATAGTCATACTCTATGGCTGGCTAGCAGATACAAGATAATATGTTTTTTAGATGAAAATTTTCCACCCATGCACCAAAAAAAAGTAAAATAAAATGTTTAAATGCTGTATGTACCAATAAGAAAACAACGACACATGCAATAATAATTGTATTTATAGATTTAATTTTCATTATATGAATTGTTTGTAGTTGTTGTTTTTTCATTATTTTTCATTGTATTGTATTTCATTTTAATACATAGTAGAGATGGTGATGGCTTTCTTTGTTTTGGGATATACAGTAGGTACTGAATGATTGCAATTTTTCTCTTCTAAATTTCAACCAAATTTGCACGAATTTGATATTTTGGATTCTAATTGCCAAAAATTGCCAATATTGCTGGCCTTTTTAGGTTGGTCCTAATATTACGGCACCTCCCAAATTTCAGTTTTTGAGGGTATTTGGGCTCGTTTTTCAATCAAATTGCCTATAAATTTACATTTTAGGTAGTTAATGGGTAGCAAATCTTTCTAGCTGTCCTGCAAAAGTCTCAAATCATTTTTTTTTATATGTTAAATGTTCGAGAATATTGAGATATTTTTTATTTCCTTTACTAGTTTCCTATATGAAAATAATAATGGAGTTGACTGTATACCATGGACAAATATATATGTGCAAAACAATTCATATTCCATTAAAATACACATCAAGTGTTGAAATAGTTTATTTGCAATATTTTGTATCTTTCAAAATCGCAAGTGGATGTTGTGGACGTCATGGTCAGTGCAATTTGGTGGATACCAATTGTTTGTATCATCTAATGGCTGTTGGCATTCATTAGAGATGGAAAAAAATATTGAAAAAATTTTAGAATTAGAAAATAATAAGAGAATCAAAATTGATCAAGAAAGCAGCTTGGGTGTATACAATTTCTCGTTCAATTTTATTTATCTTAGAATGTCTACGTGAAGCAGTGTTGGGCAAAATTAAATTGAGAGCAAGTGTGTGCGAGCGTAACAGAGAATTCACCACTGAAAACGACTGACGTAAAGAGAAAGAAAGAGAAAATGTGTTTACCCATCGACCCTCAGTTACGGTAGCGTATATGGCCGAGCATGCCTGACGTGAAGACATTTTAACGCCTTCTTTAAACATTTTTAATTCACCCACGCCGTGTATTATTTTTTTCATTTCGAAATGTTTGTCTAAATAATATCAAAAACTGATTTTTTCCTTCTAGAAATTGGCCAAATGTATGCCGCCGCCTTTGCAGAAACTAAACAGAAATCTGTTTTTCGATTAACTTAAATAAATATTTACTCAAAATGTCTGTCTGTCTAACTGTGTAAAGACATCAAGATGAATTTTGTGTTGATTGCAAAAAGAAAAAAATCCAAATCCGAATCTGAATGTTTATTTAAAAAATTATGCAAATGTTGAAATGTCTATAAACAGATATCATCTCTCTGAAATGGAGGTCAACAATATAATTTAGAGTGGTAGAGGGTGTTTTAAAAATATATATGGCTGCGAAGTGATAGCAAATATTTGATATCGCTATTTGAAGGATACATCAATTGACGATCATTTAATTATTCTCACATCCATGTTCCGCCGATCGACTTGGGTCCTTCATTAAAAATTGTTATTTAGACACATTTTTTAAACAAATTTGATATTTATAATTTGCATTGGATAAACAATTATCAATATTGTCGCATGTTTCGTGGTAGCATAGCTCCCATATAACAGTTAGTATTTTGGATTCGCATTGAATAGAGAATCTCCCAACAAAACATAAGTTTCGGGGAAGCCCCCATGCCGCCCCTAATTTCTGAAGATTTCAAACACTTTTTTTCA